TCATTGCTCACTTATAGCTCTTTATTCTCATTAGTTTTGATATTATCTTTTAAATGATCAACTAATTATTAAATATATTTGTCTTGCACACTCAAGTAGAAAGGTTAGACATAGATAAATGGGAATGTTTTATTATCATCAAAAACTAATGGGGCCAACATGTTTAGCAAGCAATACTATAACACATTTTATATTTAAAGACAAGAAATATATTTCTCACTTAACAAAGGAAGAAGCCAATGTCAATACATTATATAGTAATACAAGATTAATTGAAGCTTTCGAAAAAGTCAATATTTTATTACTTCGAAGAAGAAAGTTTATAATAGAAGATGCATTATTTTCTTCTAAGTCTCAAAAAGAAAATTTATTAAGTTTGAAAGATATTTGCCTGAATAGATATCATATTGAGACAACAAATGAAAAAGATACTTAATACCTTTATATTACATCTATTATCTCAAGTAAGAAGTATGTGTTGGAAAATTACCTACTTTATTTTTTGAATTATACTACACAAATATTAAAATGATTAAAACTCATACTATAATAAATTAGAAGTTTACTAATAATTTTAATATTTGGCATAATTGGTTGGACCATCTCGGATCGATAATGATGTGAAAATTTATTGAAATTCATGTGGTCATCTATTAAAAAATCTTCTAATGATTTTGATTTAATGAATCCTCATATGTTGTTAGCTTTAAAGGCAAATTACTTGTAAAGCCATCACTAGTTAAAGTTGGGATTGAATCTCTAATATTTTTGAAACGTATTCAAGGTGATATATATGTATCCATATGTTCACCATATGGACTATTTAGATATTTTATGGTTTTATTCGATGCATCGACTAAATAGTCACATATGTCCTTATTATTAACTTGCAATTTAACATTTGCAAGGTCACTTACTCAAATCATTCATTTGCAAGCACATTTTCTTGACATGTAATCAAGACTATTCGTTTTCACAATGCTGGTAAATTTACATCTCAAGCTTTTAATGAATATTGCATATTAGTTGAAATAACTTTTGAACAACTTGTTATTCATGTTAAAACATAAAACGGTCTAGTAAAATCATTTATTAAACCCTTCCAATTGATTGCAAGGCCATTGCTTATGAAAACTAAACTTTTCATTTCTAGTTAGGTGGGCATACCATTTTGCATGTAGTAACACCTGTACGTATCAAGTCAACGAGTTATCATAAATTTTTTTTTATCAATTAGTTTATGGTTAGGAACTAAATATCTTCCATCTAAGAATATTTGAGTATGCGATATATGTCACAATTGCTTCACCTCAACACATAAAGATAAGTCCTCAAAGAAGATTAAGAATATACGTTGGATATGAATCTCTATTTATAATTAAATATCTAAGGCCATTAACAGGAGATTTATTCATGGCAAAGTTTGCCAATTGTAATCTTGATGATACAATTTTTTCAACATTAAAGGGAAAAAATAAGAAGCTGAAAAAAAAATTTTAGAATGTATTATTATTATCTATTTTTTATCTTCACACAAATCAATGTAAACTTGAAATTTAAAAAATAATTCATTTGTAAAATACAGCAAATTAGTTACTATACATATTTACTAACATAAAGAGTAATTAAATTTCACACACCAGTCACAAAAGCTCGAATTATAATTGATGTTCTTGTAAGACAAGGCATGCTAAAAGTGTGGGAAATTAATAGGTTTCAAAAATAAAATCTTCGAAAAACAAAAGAAGCAAATACACAAGATGGTCTGAAAGAGGCAAAAGAAATCCCAAAAAAGACCCCTTACATAATTGATAAAATTCCAGAAGAAATTCAAGTAACTGAAATCATTGAAAGTGAAGATCAATAAATTATGTTATGATGAAAAAAGACGCGATAGGAATGATATAAACTTCAACGATATTTTTTATATAATAGTATTCAATATTATGAAAAAAAAAGAGGATCTTGAACATTAATCTGTTGAAGAATGTAGACATAGAAATGATTAGCTTATATGGAAAGATGCAACCAATACATAATTAAATTCATTTAGAAAATGTGAATGTTTTGAACCTATAGTCCGTACACTAAACAGTGTAAAACTAGTGAGATATAAATAGGTATTCATGTAAAAATGAAATGAGAAAAATGAGATTATGAGATATAAAACACGACTTGTTGGACATGGTTTTACCTAAAGACTTGGTATTAGTTAGGAATAGACATATTCTTTTGTGATGGATGCAATTATATTTTTCTTTATTTAATTAGTCTAGCAATACATAAGAAGATTGAAATTCATGTAATGAATGTAGTTACTACCTATTTATATGGTACACTTAATATTGAAATCTATATGAAAATCCCTGACGGATTTAAATTGCCTGAAGCACACAATTCTTGAAAAATTTATTCGATCAAGTTAAATAAATATTTATATGGATTAAAGTAATTTAGACGCATGTGGTACAATCAACTTAGTGAATATTTATTAAAAGAAGGCTATAAAAATGATCTTGTATGCCCATATGCTTTATAAGAAGATTTGGACTTCAAATTATCGTAATTGTTGTTTATGTTGATAAACTAAATATTATTGTAACTCTTGAAGAGTTGTCAAAAATCATGGTTACCTAAAGAAAAAATTTGAGATGAAAGACATTAAAAAAACAAAGTTTTGTTTGGGTCTTCAGATTGAGTACTTGGCAAATGAAATTTGTTTCCATCAATTAAATTATATAGAAAGAATGCTAAAACAATTCTATATGACCAAAGTGCATCCATTGAGTTCAGTAATGGTTATAAGATCACTAGATGTGAAAAAGGATCGTTTTCGAGATCATGAGAATGATGAAGAACTTCTTGGTCCTGAAGTACCATATTTTAGTGCAATCAGAGCATTAATGTATCGATCTTACTAGCAATACACAGCTTGATATATTATTTATTGTACATTTATTAGCAAGTTATTGTTCTTCACCAACTTGAATACATTAGAATAGAATTAAACATATGTTTTGATATCTTCGAAGAACAATAGACATGGGTTTATATTACTCAAATATATTCAAATCAAATTTGATTGGTTATGCAGATGTAGGATATTTATCCAATGCACCCAAGGCTCAATTCTAGATAAGTTACTTATTCACATTTAGAGGTACATCTATTTCATGGTGTTTTATAAAACAAACTATAGTTGCTACTTCTTTTAACCATACAAAAATCTTAGCAATTTATTAGGTAAATCGTGAATGTGTCTAGTTAAGATTATAACTCAATACATTCAAGAAACGTGTAACTTATCAATTAAAAAAGAAATTCTAACAATGTTATATGAAAATAATACTATTTGCATAGCCTAGTTAAAAGACGGATACATTAAAGGTGATATAATAAAATATATTTTGCCAAAATTCGCCTTCACTCATGATCACAAAAAAAGAAAATTGATATTAATGTTCAATAAATTCATTCAAGTGACAATCTAGCATATTTATTTACTAAAGCCCTTCTTATTGCCATATTTGAAAAGTTCATATAAAAGATTAGAATTCATCATTTTAAAGATCTTGAATAATGAAGTCATTAAGGGAGCAAAGTACGCACTGTTTTCTTTTCCTTCATTAAGGTTTTTCTCACTGGATTTTGTTGGTAAGGTTTTTAATGAGGTAATATTTCAGAAACGTATTCTTAAAAAGAATTATGTACTTTTTTCCTTTATTCAAAATTTTCCTTATTAGGTTTTTTCTAGTAAAGTTTTAACAAGGCATATTCTTGATACAATTGACATTCAAGGAGGTATGTTATGAATATATATGTGAATGTCCATTATGTCACAGTTCAAGAATTTAGAATAGGTTAGATAGCGAAGACAAGCCAAATAGCCCATCAAGCTAGACATAATAGTATAATTTGATTTAAACTCTTAGATTTAATTATGTATATTTAGATTTGAACGTAGATTAGATTGGATTAAAATTAAGATTTAATCTATCCCAGTCAAATCACTTAGTATTATTTTTATTTTATAAATTCTATCTAAATAAGGAGTTATTGGTTTATAAATTAACTCTTCACTTCATTTTTAAAAATACACTAAAATAAGATCTTCTTACTCTCTAAATATTTTTTTCTTATAAGTGTTCTTCCAAGTTATATTTCATAACAATTATAATATATTTTCATAAAAAAATTTCTCATATGGAAATATATTTCTCCTCTCTTAGGAACATTGGTAATTATTCCAAATCATATAAATGGGTGTTTAAACACTAAAATTGAACCAATCGGTTGGACTCTTCAATGTAGAATTGGTAGTTTGTTCTGTCCAAAACAATCACTCAAATCGTTTGTTAGTTTGATTGGTTAAGAACAGATCAACTTACCAGATGGACCAAGTTTGGCCGGTTTTCCAACCAAATTTGATCATTTAAATTTATGTGTTTAGTTTTTAAACAGTTTTGTAGGTGGCAAAATTCAATCCTGCATCTCTCTACTTTTTTATTTAAAGCATTAATCACTCAGTAAAATATCATTTTTTATGTATTATGATCTAAAATTGAGTCACTAAAATTTTGAACCATAAATATGATCTAAAATTGAGTCAATTAGTTGCATTGGGCAAATCGATTGAACCGACAGGAATGGAATTTCTCATTGATCATACCTCTGTTTATCTTTTTATTCTCATGGTTAATTTATTATAAACTTTTTAGAAAATATTAACAATTAGTAATTATATCTTGAAATAAAAACAATAAAAGAAAATGGAAAAATAATATGGGTCAAGCTAGGTTCATCCCGGCATGGCACATAAGGATTGCGGTCCATGGGCCGAGCAATGCCCAAGCCCTTATAGGAGGTCATGCTGGTCTAGCCCAGGCCATTTGACAACTCTAATGTGGATTAACTCTTCCTTCTGCCGTCGAATACAACAGCCGTGAACTTCAATGAAATCAATTTCAAGATTCCTACATTAAAAGGAGATGAGGAGAAGTTGTTCCCTAACCATTCCTTGAAGTGTTAGAAAGCTTTGATAAAGTGGTTTACAAATCAATTCTACAGGGTAATTTAATCCAAGAAAACGGATATGTATACATTTAATTACATAGAAATGCATGCCATATGCCATTAGTAGGAAAAGCTAAGAAAGTCAAGCTACGGTTAGGGTACATTTCGCTCATGCCAAGCAAGAGGTTATACGACTATTTCATGGATCAATGGAACTAGCTAGTCATGCAATCAATTATTTCCTTTTCTCATACAACGACGAAAGCTTCTCGTTCAAAACCACTCCTTCCAAATTATACGTTCTTTCCACCTGCATTATCAACAAGGAACTAATAAATTAACTACAATTTTAAAGCTAGTGTACTACTTCTACTAGCATTTGGCCCCTGCAACACCAAGGTCCCTTGTTCTCCATTAATATGTTTCACAATTGCATTTTAATATATTTATTATTATTTTTAACATAAAAATAATAAAATGAATTTAATTTTATCAGCACATGAAATATTATAAAAATATCAAAATTAAATTTACATATGACATTCAATATGTTACCCTCACGTTTTCATTGTTGGCTTCTTGTACTTTGTTGTGAACGCTGTAAGGTTTTTATTTTTCAGAATTATAAATTATTTGATCAAATATATAATTTTCAATTTATTGTAAATTATAAACTTTTTTCAATAAAAAAGTTTAGAACAAAGGAAGAAAAAGTAATAAAAGTATAACACTTATTAATATTTATCAAATAGTTTTGATTTGATTTTTATTATGTCTTATTATAATTATTATTTTATAAAAAATAAAAATAAAAACTTTTACATTAGAGTTTTTTTAAAAAAAATTCTCTTAACACTTTTGATTAAATTTTATAAATTTTTATTCATCTTAAAAATTTTAAAGAATTTCCCACTTGCAATTTCTCCTTTCCTTCTCTTTCCTTCCTTTCCTTTCTTTCCCTTCACAAAGAAAAAAAAAGTGCCACATGGCAGAAAATTGGCACCTCAATTGATGAGGTAGCCTTCAATCAAGAGTTATCCTTGCTTGGAAACAATTTAATAGTATGTTATTGATTACTGCTAAATACACTAGGCTTTACTGTTTTATGGTTCCAAATTTTTGGGGCTTCATCAAGGGGTTTACTTTTATGTATTAGTAAGCCGTTTCTTAGCTACCTTAGTCAATAAATACATTTTTCTGCCTTTAGAAAAGCCTACAAATTAACAAAACAAGCAAATGGACACCTAAGATTTGGAAAGCACACCTGAAAATGTAAGTTGTAAAACACTCTTCCTCCAAAAGACTCAAAGCAAGAGGCCTCCGTTAGAAATAGACCATCCTCTTCTAAATTAAACAACACGCGAGACAATGGGGTCTCAAAGGCCCGAAATGTTGAAATCTGAACCACAACCTCTCTTTCGCTTACCCGACTTACTGACATAGCGAACGGAGAGCTGCCTTCCCTTTTGTTGTCTTGATCACAACTAAACTCATCTTGCCTCGACAGAATTTCTTCTTTCCTTTGAGCCAGTCTCTCCACATGCGCTTGTAGCTCTGGTATATATTTCAAAACTCGTGAAATTGTCGCTGGAATGCTTAACCTCTTCTGAAACGAAAATCAATAATCCAAAGGCCAAAGCATCAGAATTACAACCTTCCAGCAACGCTTTTGTAGAGGCAGTTTGATTGGCCAAGATGAAATTAAATTACTCGTACCGTTTGCTCAGAGAGTGGAAGCAGTGAACGAAGAGAGGTGTACAAACTGTTTATCTTCTTCCGTCGATCACGCTCCCTGGCGTTGTGGTTAAGCTTCCTGAGGACGATGGGGTTATTACCACTATCTCCCGAGAATGATGGAGAGCCATCAAGTTCGATTGGAGGCAGGGTTGAGGTGAAATGATGGAAGTCCTCAAAGCCTTCGGCGTAGCTGATCTGTTCAATGTGGTTGATGGGAGCATCCAAGGGCCACTCACACACTGGAAAGGGGGTTAATGCACACATGCTTGTCTATTTTTTGGTATTGAAAACTTTGCCAATTAGGACCAATTTGGGGTTTGATGGTCGTGAATTGAGGAGATGTTTTTATATATATGAATCGAGGGTACATTCGATGCGTTCCTACTGTGATGAGTAATTAATTAATTCTTGACAAGTGACACCTTACCTTCCCTCCTATATATCCAACGCTACTTTATCAAAAGAAGGCTACACGACGTACATATCCTCAATAGTTGGTTTCATTTTTCAAATGCAATAAACTTCCTAGAATAAGAAAAAGTCTTGATTCTTACCCATTACAGCATGGATTAAATTTTAATTAAGTTTATTTTTCTTCATCCACGTTTGAGAGAGGTGGAAACGTATGAGTTGCACACTGGGTGAATGCCGTACACGAGGCTGAGGTAGGCTTGTCACTTAGTTGCGCATGCATAAACTACGAGGTCGCGTGCCCAAAAGCTGCACATATGAAGCCGTCCTCGAGTTCCGGATGGGGACGTTAATTAGTATTTTTTATTGATTTTATCGTCTCATTTTAGATTAATTGGTGTTCATCTCTTTTGTTGTTTTTTTCTTTAATATACATGAGATATTAGATTACACTATCAAACATGCTTACCTTATACTCATAAATTTTATTCCATTTTTTTCAAGATTTAAGCTTAAAACTTTTAAGATGAAGTTTTAAACTCTATAATTGAGGTATTTTTTTGGGGCAACCTTTGCGACATTTTAATATTAAAGTTTTATTTTAATAAAATATGTTTCATAAAAAAGCACAAAAGAAAAGAAAATTAGGCTTGTTCTTCAATCCAACTTGAAAGTTAACTAAGGTTTTGGGAATCATGTAAAAGAGAAGTTGTAAATATAATTTGATTTGTAGGTTTTTTTTTAAAAAAAAATTGTGACTCAAATCTCCAATAAAATTGATAGATTTTTTGACTAGCTAGAGATTGCTTGATAATCAAGTTAATTTGGAAAACTTTTAATGAGATTGTCATGCTCAAATGAAAGACTGGGACATCATCTTTGTACACACACCTAGGGAGGTGGACTGGCTTGTGGATTCTTTGGTCAATATTAGGGTTGAGATGGCTAACATGTTCTGTGCATGGAAGTGACTTAGCTGTTTTCATGTGTCAGTTGTAAAAATGAATTGTAAACTTATGATCATCAAATTTTTTTATGTGAAGATTGTTATACTTTGATATTATTTTAAGTAGTCCTAGTCAATAATGCAAAATTAGTTATACAGTGAGTATAGCATAAACCACATGAAGATAAATGAATGATCAATACAAAATATGTTATTGAAAGTGATTTAAAGGAGATATCTCACTACTTCTTGGCATGTCTTAACTCAAGGAAATCTTTGGCCAAAGTATAACGAACATTCGAAAAATAAGTTTTTCAAATTTCATTAAGGAGTTTAGAACAAGTTTCAAGAACTAAAATGATGAAGACAATAAAGCTGACATTACATCACGCTCTATGCCTTATCAAGATATTGGATGCTCTATGTCTTCTTTTTTTTCTTTTTTCATTCATTTATCATGTTTTTTATTATTATTTTATTATGCCTACCTTTTTTTTTTATTATCCTAATCTTTTGAAGAAAAAAAGAAAGAAAAGGCATAAAAAAGGAAAAAACGGGAAATAACAAAAAGAAGCAACAAGGAATAAAAGGTTAAATCTAAACCCCATTTTATAAAACAATATATGAATTTATACAGAGCCTCTTTATGGAAATAAGTGATTTTCTTGTATATTCTTGAAGTGAGGAAATTTTCCTATCTTCAAAATTGTTGGGAAAACTTAACAAAAGCTTTCAATATTTAAATTAATAAAATGAAGAAAAGAAAAAGAATAAATGGCAATTAAGGGTAGTATAAGTAAATAAGAAATTAATGACTATTTGTCAAGGCTAAAATAGAATAGCACATAATTTATTTGGTATGTTCTTTGAACAATCATTATTGGGATGGTAATATCTTCTTCGCACGTAATCATCCCAAATCTAATTTTATTTTCTAGACCAGAATCTATCTTTATGAATGAACCTAAGTTAAGTTTAAAATTTTTAACTTTTTTTTCAATTAATGCGTTCTGTGCTTTTACCTTTTAGAAAAGAAAAAGTTTAGGATTTCTATTAAAAATAATAAATTTAACTAGGTGATCAATCACATTTAGACATAAAAGATTAGTGGCAACTTCTCTTTATGTCGAGAAGTTGGGTTCTTCGACTCACACGTTGCAACAACTTGATGACTCCACAAGAGACTTTTAAAAGTCAAGAAAGTAATTAATCATGATTTAGCTTAAGACTTGCCAATGAATTTATTTTTATTCCTTTTTCTTATTGGTATTTTTTTGTTTTATAATTTTCTTACTGCATTTATTTTATTGTTCTTAATAAATATTTGGGATTTAGGATAAGGGTTAGTGAGGTGAGTGGTCAAAATTACGTATGTTACTGCACACACATTTAACACATTCATTTTCTTGCTTGAACTTTATACTCAGGCTTTGTGCCTCGTTGGAGGGTGTAAAATATCGAAGCTCTCTTCAAGTGGTAACCTTCATGCGAGCTAGCGAAACACTTCTCAAATTGAATCCTTTCCGCTCATTGACAATGTTATTATGCCAAACCAATAGGATTGGTTGTATAAAGATCCTTATTGTATTAAGCATTTATTATTTATAAAATGACACCCTATTTCTTAAATCCTTATATATGTTGTTTTAATGGAAATAAAGTCCATGGAGAATCTTATTGCATCAAAACATTATTCCTAAATAGTTCTTAGTGAAAAGTTTTATCAAGAAATAGGAATATTGATAAGACATTGAGATAGGCACATGTTTATGTACATCACTGATCAAGTGGTTAATCAATCTCAAACATTGAAGTATAGGGATACTTGGAGTAACGTGTAGGTTGCTAACTCTATTACATAAAGTTATTTTATCATATTTTGTGTACTAAATTAGCTAAGTTCTTTAGATTTATGTTTAAAATTATGCGTTTTTAATTATTTTTCTTAATTAGCTTAAATCATGTTGAGCTATTTTAATTTAAGTTATTTAAGTTTGATTTTATGTTAAATTTTTTTTATTTTAGTTATTAGTGATTTAGTCTATCGCTTTTGAAGGTTCTCAAATGAAAAGACCTCAATTGGTGATAAAGCATGCAGGTATGGCTAGTGCTTTTCTTGTATGTGTGGTAGTAATTTAAGCATAACTCTCATTCCACAGTTCAATTGATGTGATTCTTATGTCACTAGAAAGTTAGGAGATGGAGATACAACTTTCATGTTTACCATTTTGCTCAATTTAGATCATATCAAGGAGAAAATCACATTACAAGAGGATAGACTAAAGCAGAATCTGCATAAGGCAGCATGAGGAAGTCTAGGTAGCAACTGTGAGGAATCTAGGGCCTCTATGCTATGATTTGAAGGGCACCATACATTGACCAGAGAAGCTGGTGCCATGGTGCCTTGAAGTCCATACTAAGACCCTTGAGTAAGGAGTCATGGTGCTAGCCCGATAACTCAACATTCAGTTTTTCAATCTTGTACAAAATTAGGGTTTCAAGGGGTATTTAAAGAAGGCTTTTGAGAGAAATTTAAGAGGAAACTTAGGGAGGGTTTTTTAGAGAAAAAACAGTCGTTAAGTAAGCAAGAAAACAAAGAAAATCAAGGAAGATTCAAGATTCAAGATTTGACAACCTTAGTTTCTCTCTCTTCTTTTGTTCTTCTCATATTTTCTTTGACTTGTATTGATGGATAATTTTCTTTAGATGATGTTTTTAGTAGTAATTATGAACTAATTTACTTTATCTAAGATTTCAATTGAACTCAACATATAGTTTGAATTCTTTATCTCTTTTTTGCTTGTGATCAATGGAATATGAGTTGTTTATTTCAATTTTATGTCCAATGCTTCTAATTGCTTGATCACCAATTAGATTGATCTAGAAACCTAAATACAACTTGATGTAGGAAGTTTAGAGTAGGCTATGAATGGAATAGCATATGTTCAAATTCACTTAGTTGAGTAGGTGATTTGATTTGCATATAGGATAGATAAGGTTAGAGTATGAACTTAATGAATCTTTCTTCAATTGAATTTACATAAACATATAGTAAATTAATTAAGAGAGATCTTTTTATAAGAACCTCGACAAAGACATATAAATAAATTACGACTCTAGATTAGCAACATAATCTATTGGGTAAGTGTATATATATATAGAGAGAGAGAGACAGAGGGAGAAAGAGATAAAATTTAGATGAACTATTGAGGGATATTGTAATCGTAGGCTTATTAGTTAATTAGTTTTCTAGTTAAAACTTGCTTTTAGTTCTTAGTTTTAGTTTTATTATTGTAATTTTGCTGTTAATTAATCACTTAATTTCAATGGTTTGAATAAGATTAATTTTTGTTAATTTTAGTACTTAGCAAAAATTGGTACAATTCTTTGTGGGATTCGACACTCTACTTATTATTATATTACTTGTTATGGTACGTGCACTTGCGTGATAAAATCGACAACATGGGTGCTTATTACCTATAAAAACAAGTTCACTAAACATGACTCTTCATGAGAATTTTATTTGATATATCACTTAAGTGTCTATAGAATAAATTCTCATGTAACAATTGTGTAAGTGATCCTTGTACGTGAGATCATGTGATTACCTTATATGAGGAGTGCTATACTTTGATACTATCTAAAGTGGCCCTACTTGAGGATGCTCATAAAAGGATAAATATTGGGTATAGCATGAGATATATGAAGGTAAGTCAATGATCAATAAAAAATTCATCATCTTAAGTGAATATAAGGGGAATATCTTATGAGTCCTTGATAACTAATAACTCATGGAAACACTAGGCCAAGGAAATTGAAGATGCCGACAGTCTCGAGATGATTTTGATTATTAGGATCATGTACTCAAATGGAAAAGACAAATTTAGAGTAAACACTACAATCTGCACAATGTTTTAAGTGTTGTTGG